GTCTCTACTTTCTTCCTCCTTAAATGATACTTTTGTTTGTTCTTTTTAATTTTTTTAAATGTTACTTTTAATACTAATACAGGCATCAAAATTTTTACCTCACATACAGGAGACACAAGAAATAGGGCTTCAACACTGAGTTAATGAAAAATAATACAAGATATTCATGTTCCTTCACACCATACATTTTCAACAGCATTTTCATTGTTCTTTGGGTGTTATAACATCCATGCTTAAGCAGCCAAGCAAGCATCTCATTAATCTTTACTAATCATTCCAAGAAAAGGCAAGTATACTCCCGAACGATAGTCAAAGGATGTGAAATGTAGGGAGTGAGGGAAGAAAAGGTGGTAGTTGGAGGTTCCAACATTCAGTCAGGTTTTAATGTACTTATTTTTTTGTCCCAGTATACAATGTTATTATTTTTATTTTTGTTGGTATCTTTTTTCAGTTTTATTTTGGTTTTGATGGACAAATAGTAATTTACATATTTATTGTGTACAATGTGGTGTTTTCAGACACGCATACATTGTGCAATGATCAAATCAAGGTGACCAGCATACTCACCACTTTAAACATGCATTATTTGTTTGTATTGTAAATATTCAAAATTTAACAAACAAATGGGAAGGCAGAACATTGAAGATCAGTACAAAAAATCTTGAAAAAATCTGAGGTAATTTGCACTCAAGAGAAGTTAATATTTCTGGGGGCAATCTTAGCATGTCATACTATTTTTAAAACAAGCAAACAAAATAAATAAGTGCAACTTTAAATTTATTTATTTTTGGAAAGTTTTAAATCAAACCTACGTACTTCAATGCGATGTAGATATTCACTGTTTGCAAAATAGTTAACTTGGAAACAGTGCTTCCTTAATACATTTGCATTGCTATAAAGGAATACCTGAGGCTGAGTAATTTATAACAAAAAGAGGCTTATTTGACTTATAATTCTGTAAGCTGTAGAAAAATTATGGCACTAGCATCTGCTTCTGGTAAGGGCCTCAATAACTTCCAGTCATGATGGAAGGGAAAGGAGAGCTGATGTCACATGTGTGAGAGAAGGAGCAAGAGAGAGAGGGAAAGAAGGTGTCAGACTCTTTAACAATCAGATTTAGCAGAACAGTAATAAATAGGGTAAAAAGTCACTCATTATTGCAAGGGTGCCACTAATGAGGAATCCATACCCGTGACCCAAACACCTCCCCCCAGATTTTACCTTCCACGTTGGGGATCACATTTCAACATGAGATTTAGAAAGGAGAAATATACAGACTGTGTCAACTACTAAGAAACTACATAGATATTTGTTTGGATAATAACTATGGGAAAAGGAGTTGCGTGGCAGTGTAATCAGTCCATTTGCTTTCAAACAATTTAATCATGGCGGAAAACTTCTACTTTCCCTAAACAAAATCATAGAAAGAACTGTTTGCCTAATAGAATCATAGCTCACTGCGACCTCAAACCCCTGGGCTCAAGCATTCCTCCATTCCTCCCGCCTCAGCCTCTTGAGTAGCTTGGACCATAGGCACGTGCTCCCATGCTCGGCTAATTAACACAAACAAAAATAAATGTGTAGAGATGAGGTTTCACAATGTTTCCCAGCCTGGTCTTGAACTCCTGTGCTGCATCCCGTCACAGCCTCCCAAAGTGTTGAGATTATAGGTGTGAGCCACTGTGCCCAGCTCCAGAGTTGTTAGTACTTAAGATACATGATGTTTTAGGTACAATTCCAAGACATTTTGTGTATATATTTAATAACAATGAGTTTAATATGTAACTCGGAGTTTCATGTAAATGAGACATTGACACCTTTATAATCGTATTAGGTGACATTTAAAAGATTATAGAGGCCAGGCACAGTGGCTCATGCCTGCAATCCCAACACTTTGGGAAGCCAAGGTGACAGAATCACTTCAGGTCTGGAGTTTGAGACCAGCCAGGGCAATGGTGAGATTCCATATACAGAAAATAATGTAAAAATTACCCAGGCGTACTGGCATGCACCTGTCCTAGCTACTTGGGAAGTGGAGGTGGAAGGATTGCTTCAGGCCAGGTGTTTGAGGTTACAGCGAGCCATGTCTGCACCACTCCAGCCTGGCTGACAGAATGAGAGCCCACTTCTAAAGCAAACAAAAGCCATAGAAACAACTGTTCTAGAATAAAACAAATAAATGAATATAAAAAGTGTTCAATAACTTTTAAAAGATTTGAATCATCAGGGAGACAAATAAACAGTATTTTGGGGCACTAAAAAGTAGATGAAAATAATTCCCAAGTGCCAAAGAAAATTGTTGAAAATTCCAGGGATTTAGGCTTGAAAATGTATTATTAACTCCATGAAAGCAGAAATTCTACAAGTAATATTTTCTATATATTATGAAATACAGAAACTATCAGTTAAAGTGTAACCAACCAAAGAATAAAGAAAATTTGTAGCAAATAATAATATCTAACCACATATTAATATTTTTTTTGAGATGGAGTCTTGCTCTGTCTCCCAGGCTGGAGCGCAGTGGTGCGATCTCGACTCACTGCAACCTTTACCTCCTGGGTTCAAGGGATTCTCCTGCCTCAGCCTCCTGAGTAGCTGGGATTACAGGTGTGTGCCACCACGCCCAGCTAATTTTTTGTATTTTTAGTACGGCGGGGTTTCACCTGTTGGCCAGGTTGGTCTTGAACTCCTGACATCAAGTGATTCACCCACCTTGGCCTCCCAAAGTGCTAGGATTACAGGCGTGAGCCACCATGCCCAGCCCCTACATCTTAATTTTAAAAAATCTTTTAAATACCAAAGTAAGTAGGAAACCCAAATGAGATCATGTTGACAAAGTCAGAGTATTGCTAAGGAGGAAGCACCTCCTCTGGAGCCAAAGGACCTAAATTCACATGATTAATTCTACTAACATTATCTTAATATTAAAGAAAAACAATAATTCTGGCCATAAGCATGTATTATTTCATAACGTGGAGGACTGTATTTTGTTAAATTTTTGCAAAATATGAATATACATTCAAGTTTTAATAAAATTACACTGCACAAATAATTTCCACGTAAAGCAGATATTGATGGTGGAGTTCTAAATGAAGAAAATTGGAATTTCTTATGAGACATTCTGCAACAAAATATCAACGTGAAATATTTTACTTATGTATTAAATGTGAACATTTGATGCTTTAGAACAAAAATATATTTACAAATCTTATTTGATGCACACATCAAAACATACTCAGAAGTTACAAGAATTCATAACATACCCAACAAAGCTAATAGGACAAGATGGGACCTTTCCAGGACCAGAAGTAAATTAAAAGAACCCAGAGGGGTGATCAAAGTAAGAAACCAGTGCCCCCTTCAGCTACTGGATGATCACAGGGACCTCAAGGTTTTGGGAATTATTCAGCTGCCTTCTTGGAATAAACAAAGAAAAGTCTTGACTAAAGTTATTCCATGTAAAATCTCTCAAATAGAAAAACAAAATTATTTTCAAATTGTAATTTCTTATATGCTGTAAAGTACACAATAAGCTACCAAGGTGAAGGTTTAAAAGAAATTAGACATCACATAAATGTCAGATATGGAAAATGCATTTAAAATGTTTAAGTGAAGTAAATGGAAAAAAGTAGAAAATGAAAATAATGTTGACAAAGCAAAAAATTATAAACCCAGCAAGCATATTTGGAAAAGAACCAAAAAGAAATTGAACAATTGAAAATTAAGTACATTTAATGCACAATGTACTTCTAATAAAAAGATTAGAATACGTAGAATAAATATCACCAGATCAAAAGTAAGATAATAAAATATGAATATACCTATTAAAATAGAATAAAGATAACTTCACTAGAATATATAAATATAAATCACAAAATAATTTATAAATTTCTAAAATTTAAAACCAGAAACAAATTCTTAAATGCATTACTATACTATCACAAAAATATATAAAAATACTATTCAGCATAAGTAACAAACTATAACACACTAAAGAAAAGAAAAAATCATAAAAGCTTTGATAAAGAAGAAAGAGGCTGGGCACGATGGCTCATGTCTGTAATCCTAGCACTTTGCGAGGCTGAGGAGGGTGGATCACCTTAGGTCAGGAGTTCGAGACCAGCCTGGCCAACATGGTGAAACCCTGTCTCTACTAAAAATACAAAAATTAGCCAGGTGTGATGGCAGGCTCCTGTAATCCCAGCTACTTAGGAGGCTGAGACTTGAGCCTGGTAGGCGGAGGTTGCAGTGAGCCGAGATTGTGCCATTGTATTCCAGCCTGGGTGACAAGAGTAAAACTCTGTCCACACGTCCCCCCCCCACCCCGCCAAAAAAAGAAAGAACTGACAAAAGTTAAGTGCAAAATCTCCAAAGCCAGAAAACAGACAAGTAGTGCTGAGAGAAATTATTATTGTTCTTATAATTGAATATCTAGCTAAAATATGTTTAGTGAATAAGAGTAACTAAAAGTAACCTAAAGTATTTTTAGAAGTAAAAAAAAAAGTAATACATTGGTAGATTTTATAAACAGCAGGAGCTTCTTAAGAGTATACCTCAAGAAGACAGAAAAGTTTCCTTCTATAAAGTTCACAGAATTGAAATAAGATGTAAGAAACTTCTAAAACATGTGGGACATCAAGTCATTGTGGAGATCAAACTTAAAAAAAAACCACCCAAGTTTTTGGCAGTATCAGTTTCAAAATTCTTTAGATATAATACAAGTATAATTTTACACATTTTAATTAAATAAATAAATCATCTGCTCCTCGAGTAATTTAACTGATGGCAGAAAAACCCAGTTTTCAGAGAATTATTTCTGTTATCAAAGAACTGATCATGGCACAGACATTCACCACAAGACGCGGAACTCGCCAGGGGATTGGGCCATATGCCCATAACATTGCAGAGGAGAATGAGATGATGAAGTCCACCCGGGACATGACCACAAAGAAACTTACCAGCAGCAGTACGGTCTGGGTGGCTTTTTTTTTTTTTTTCAGGGGAAGCTCCTGGGGAAAAGCCACGGCTGCGAAGGTGGTGGGATCGCCTCTGATGCCTGAACAAGAGAATCACCATGTAGGCACTTGAGAGCAACCAGCATTATTCCTACAAGAAAGACATCCCTGGATATTGTCAGAATAAAAATCATGCCCCTGAAAATGAAGCCCATGGGGTAAATTGAGCATGCGTATCTATATTCAGCACATTTGTCTGGGTCACATTGGAAGCAGCTACAGTGTAGAAGATCCTGTTACTACTGAAAGTTGAGGAACCATAAGAAGAAGGAAACACGGATAATGTAATTTGCGGATTTATGTTTAAATCTTGCCAACCAGGAGGTGCTGGAGCTGGTGGTGATGGCCTGGAACATGCTCAGGAGGCAGGTGGTGCAGATGGAGAGGCCCCGCATCACCCTGCTCAGGTAGAAAAGTGCCTTACACTTGAAGTCCCTCTGGAAGTTTAATGACTCCAACAGGTTTGGAGACCCCAATAATAGTGCAGTGAAGAACTTCACTATGTGGATGAGGGACAAGTGACAAGTGGTCAGGTCAGTGGGTTTTAGTCTGTGATTTAGAAGGAGAGAAAAGATGCAAAGTAGAAGGAGGAAGCTGTTGGCTGAGATTCCAACAGCAACTTGTAAAACTGAGCAGTTTTTAATAAGATAAATGGGAAGTATGTACATTGTAGTGGCAAGGAGGAAACAGTTGTGTATCTGAAAAAAGATTAGGCATTATCAGTGTTAAGTCTATACTCAAAATGATCACAAACATAATCATTTTTATTTCTCCCAATTGATTAACACTTATGATGTGAAATAAATTAGAAAATTCTGCTTCAGCATTTTTATACAAGTATTTCTTTATACACACACACACTATATATATATATAATGTCAGCATTAATTTTAGTCTTCCCACTGTGATTCTGGTGATTTAAGAATATTTTCTTAGTAAATACTGAAGTTTATCGTAGCCATAGGAAGTCTTGCACAGGAATAATTTTTTTAATTGGCAAAAGTAATTTTGTCTATTTATGTGGTACAATGTCATGTTTTGATCTATAGAAAGATCCAGTCAAGCTAATTAATATATTTATCACCTCACCAACTTGCTAAACACCTATTCTTTTAGGTATTAAAATATACAGTAAATTATTAACTGTGGTTACCATGCTTTGCAATAGATCACCAAACGTATTTCCTCAGTCTAACTGAAACTTACACCCTTTAGTCAACATCTTTCCTTTACCCAATTCCACCCCCTATCCCAGCCTCTGGTAATCACCTTTCTCCTCTTTCTATCACTTCAACATCTTTAGCTTCCATATACTGAAGTCATACAGTATTTGTCTTTCTGTGCTTGGCTTATTTCACTTAAATCCACTTATTTCACTTAAATCCACTGATAATCTCACAGGAACATGATTATAGATAACATGACATTATACTTTTGTTCCTTTCAAGATTCTCTCCTGGTCCTCTTAGCATAATGTCCTCCAGTTTCATCCATGTTGTGCAAATAAAATGATAATTGTAATCCAGTGGCCTCAGGGTCCTAGCTAGAATATAAAACCCACTGTGGAAAAGAGAAAAATGTCTCCTCTGACTGACCTAGTCAGGTATGGTACTCTGCCCTTCAGGTGATACAGCCCTGCACCAGGGTACCTGGCATTGGAATCAGAATACAGGCTGAATTTTAGCACTTATTTCTCCCACTTATTTCATCAGTTATGTTTAGAGAGGGCAGAAAGAAGCCATCCATTCAAGCAACACTGAGGGTTAGGATGTGCACTGCCTTTCATAAGACAGCTTATTTACACATGGACTCCTAGGCTCCTGTGGCGGTGTTTTCTGCCATCCCCAATCCTTGGTCTCCTCTGTTCCTTCTACTCAAGAGATACTGGATCTCACACACTCAGCAATTGAGTACTGGCTTTTTAGACACTACCATTTGGTTTTGCTTTTGTACCACCCGCCAATTACATCTGTGTTAAAAATAACCGTAACTTTCAACTTAATGTTTATTACGATGGTCATAGTTTTGGTCCAGTTACTTAACCAAACACTATCTTGTGTTAAAGTGGTGATTTTTTTTTTTCTAATAAACCAAAGGATCTTTCACTTGACTATGAGATCAGGCTAATTGGTTTTTTTCTGAAGTATCTGTCTCACATTTTATTTTTGATGCTCTAGCAAACAGTCTCACCTTGGACACCTGCCCTGCAGGCTTTTAACATCTGCCATTATGTCTTCTTGCTGTCTTCAACCCAGTCCACTCTATAATCAGCTGCTGTCACTATGCTATCATTAATACATCTTGGTGACTTTTTAGGTCTTGATTTGTTTGCCCCTCCAGAAGCATTTAAAATTTTTAAAAATATTTTTTACTCCTGTTAGAAAGGAAAATAAAAACCCTGCCAATCCAGAGTCCTGTACCAATAAAATCTATCTATGAAAAATAGAGAACAATTACATTACAGGTAAACAAATAAAAAACAACTGAGGCAATGTGTTGCTAACAGACTCACATTGCAAGAATCATTAAGTGAAGCTGAGTGCAAGTATCCCCAGATAGTAATTTGAATTCATACAAAAACACAAAAAGTGCTGGAATATGTAATAATGTAATTTTTAAAAATAAATACATTTTAAATTTTCATTTTTTAAATTTTTAGACTAAAGTGAATCTTTTATAGACACCATAAGTTTGAACACATTTTAAATCCCTTTAGCTAATTCTGTATTTTGATCAAGAATTTTACTCCATGTGTATTTAAAGAAATTTATGAAGTTATAGACTTACTATTGCCATTTTGTTAAATATTTTCTCTGTTACTCATAGCTATCTTGTTGTTATTTTTCTCTTATTTCTTCCTTTTTGTTTCATTGATTTTTGTTGTGACATGTTTTGATTAATTTTATTCTCTTCGGGTACTATTTTTGTAGTTACCGTGGACACTACATAAAATATCTTAAAGTTTCAGCAATCTGTTTTGAACTGGCAACAACCTAAGTTCAACTGAATACAAAAATTATTTGCCTTTGCATCTCTTCTCAACTTTATGTTATCAATGTCGCAAATTATATATTTTTATATTGTATATTCATTATCAGATAATTCTAATATTTGTGCTTTTATTTTGCAAATTCTACAGAAATATTGAAAGTGTTTTATGCACCATCAGTATGACAATAAAGAATTCTGTATTTGTGTATGTTTATACTTTTGCCAGAGAACTATACATATACATATGTTATATATACTTACTACGTATAGTAATTATATATAGTATATGTCTATATAACTATATATAGTATATCTAGAACTATATATAGTATATAGTATATAGTATATCTAGAACTATATATAGTATACAGAACTATATATAATATATACTATGTAGTATATACTATATAGAGAACTATATATAGTATATAGAACTATATAGTATATACTATGTATAGAACTATAGTATATACTATATAGAGAACTCTATGAACTCTATATACTATATACAGAGAAGTTCTATATAGTATATAGAACTCTATATAGTATATACTATACATAGAGCTCTATATAGTATATAGTATGCACTATACATATAGAACTCTATATACAGTATGCACTATACATATAGGACTGTATACAGTATATACTATTCATAGAGCTCTATATAGTATACACTATACATATAGAACTCTATATACAGTATGCACTATACATATAGGACTGTATACAGTATACACTATACATATAGGACTCTGTATACAGTATACACTACATATAGAACTCTGTGTACAGTATACACTACATATAGAACTCTGTACAGTATACACTATACAGTATACACTACACTATACATATAGAACTCTGTATACAGTATACACTATACATATAGAACTCTATAAATAGTTTACAATATACACACTATGTAGAACTCTATAGTATACAGTATACACACTATATAGAACTCTATAGTATACAGTATGCATGCTATATAGAACTCTATAGTATACAGTATACACGCTATATAGAACTCTATAGTATACAATATACACGCTATATAGAACTCTATATAGTATACAGTATACACGCTATATAGAACTACATATATATAAATTCATATATATATATTTTTTTGTTTTTTTTTGTTTTTTGAGACGGAGTCTCACTCTGTCGCCCAGGCTGCAGTGCAGTGACGTGATCTCAGCTCACTGCAAGCGCCGCCTCCCGGGTTCATGCCATTTTCCTGCCTCAGCCTCCTGAGTAGCTAGGACTACAGGTGCCCGCCACCACGCCTGGCTAATTTTTTGTATTTTTAGTAGAGATGGGGTTTCACCGTGTTAGCCAGGATGGTCTCGATCTGCTGACCTCGTGATCCATCCATCTCGGCCTCCCAAAGTGCTGAGATTACAGGCATGAGTCACTGCGCCCAGCCCGAATTTTTTTTTTCTTTTTTTCTTTTTTCTTTTTTTTGAGAGTAGTTTTGCCCTTGTTGTCCAGGCTAGCATGCAACGGTGCAATCTCGGTTCACTGCAACCTCCGCCTCCTGGGTTCAGGCAATTCTCCTGCCTCAGCCTCCCAGGTAACTGGGACTACAGGCATGTATACCACACCTGGCTAATTTTGTATTTTTAGTAGAGAGGGTGTTTCACTATGTTGGCCAGGCTGGTCTCGAACTCCTGACCTCAGGTGATCAGCCTGCCTTGGCCTCCCAAAGTGCTGGGATTACAGGCATCAGCCACCGAGCCTGGTGAGTACAATATATTTTTATATAATTTTGTATTTATTTCTAGCATCATTTTATTTTTTCAATGGAAGAAACTAGTATTTCTTATAGGATATGTTTCATGGTGATAAACTTTTTGCAGCTTTTGTTCATCTTGCAGTTATTATTGTTCCCTTATTTTGAAGGACAATTTCATTTGATCTAATATTCTTAATTGGTGGTGTTCAGTATTTCAGCACTTAGACTATATCGCTCAACTCTTTCTGGCTTGCAAGGGTCCTGCTGATAAATCCATTGATAATCTCATAGGAGCATGGTTATAGATAACATGTCATTATACTCTTGTTCCTTTCAAGATTCTCTCCTTGTCTGCAACTCTTGAAAGTTTGACTCTTATGATGTTTCTTGTTGTAGGTGTGTTTATGTGTATCCTAGTCGGAGTTCATTGAGCTTCCTGAATTTTTATGTCTGTTTTCTTCTGCAAATTTGACAATTTATTAGACATTATTTCTTTTTGTATTCTTCAGTTCTACAATCTGTTTTTTTTTTTTTTTGTAGTTTTTATGACTTGGTTGATATTCTTTCCTGAATTCATTTATTTGTCTATATTTTTGATAAGTATTAGTATTATTCGTATGATAGTATCATTAAGGATTATAAAGATGTATATTTTGAATTTTTGTTGGGCAATTTATGCATCTTCATTTTTAGGTTTGGTATCTGGAGATTTGTTTTGTTCTTTTATTTAGGCCATAGTTCCCTGATTCTTTGCATGCCTTGTGATCTTTTGTTGAGAATTGGCCACTTTAAAAATTCCATGTCATGATATTTATGGAGTGACTTTGTTCACAAGAAGTGTGACACCAGTCAGCTGGGCTATAGATTCTGGAGTTCTCTGAAACCTGTTTAAGAATGTGTTTTCTTTGAAATTGTGTGTTTATTTTCCAATTAAAAAGTTTGGCCCAGGTTTCTTCTTCATGACCCATAATTTCTTGCTATCTCTGTGGTAGGTACATGGTACTGCAGTCTCTTTGGTGCCAAAACAATCATTTACCTTTGGTCTCAGCAGGTCTAAGTATAAACCGCCATTCCCTTTAGCACTCTGTGAGGGGAGAAAAAGGGGCAGTCTTTGGACAGTGCCCCCTAAAAAGCCAAGAATGTAAACATGTTTTACTCTTTGATTTCAGTTCTGAGGGAGAACCCAGTAGTTGGAGTTTCTTCTATTTGTACCGTACTGTATTAAGGAGAAGATGGGGCCATGGTGGGCAAATATAACAAGCTTTCTTTCCTCTTCTACATGTTTCTTTTCAGCATTGTGCTCACCTGCGGTGTTTTAAATTCTTAACTGGTTTTGATCATTCTCACATAGGCAATTTGGTCAACATATTGTTAAACTCATATAGCAATGGAGGAATGAGAGCCAGTGGTTTTCTATTCTGCCATCCTGGTGATGTTCTCACTTTATATGATTTTTATATTAGCTTTGTAAAGTATACTCCCCTGAATCTAGTTAGTAGAATAATTTATCATGTTTATTTTTCCAATGATTTCTTCTCGTTACAATCAAGGCCTTTTGCCAGAGCAATGGATACATTCATTTGAAAAAGTGATACTGGGAAGATAGAAAAGCTGTGGCCATGAGAATTTACTCTTAAGGAAAATCTGGGAAAATTTGTGTGAACGTTAAGGGCAGAGAGAATGTTATTATAGATAACCAATGTGCAACAACTACAACAGCAAATATTTAACTGCCAAAGAAAATTAGGAATATACAGCATCTCAGAAAAAAACTTAGTTTACGTTAGCTACTTCTACAAAACCATATATGTATTTTTTTGTTTCTTTTTTTTTTTTTGAGATGGAGTCTTGCTCTGTCACCCAGGCTGGAGTGCAGTGGTGCGATCTCAGCTCACTGCAACCTCTGCCTCCTGGGTTCAAGCAATTCTCTGCCTTAGCCTCCCAAGTAGCTGGGATTACAGGCACTTGCCACCACACCTTGCTAATTTTGTATTTTTAGTAGAGATGGGGTTTCACCATCTTCATCCTCGCCAGGCTGGTCTTGAACTCCTGACCTCGTGATCCACCTGCCTCACCTCCCAAACTGCTGGGATTACAGGCATGAACCACCATGCCCAACCAAAACCATATTTTTTAAAGTAAACATTAACATCAATTTTGGAAACATAACAATTGTAATGAAACTTAGAAACTCTAACCAAGGTCAAATTCTAGTAAACATTAAAGTACTAATTTTCCAGGGAATCATTACCAATGTGAGAAATGTGGGAAAGTCTTTTGCCAATGTGGAAACCTTATTTTCCATCAGAGTATACATATTCAACAGAGGCCTTACAAATGCGATGAATGTGGTGAAACTTTGAGCGAGTCCTCGAAACTTACTC